TTTGCTAAAAACAAGAGATTTACTGAGGAGGGTGACTACGGGTGGGGAAATTACCTGTGAAATCAATTGATGCAGCCTGGTTTCCCGAGGAAGAACAGGCTAAGGAAAACCAATTCAGGAAGTCAAGACAAAAAAATAAAAGTCCAGGGCACTTAAAATCTGAAAAACAATGTCAAGAAAGTGACCAGAAACTCTAACCCACCTGGGATTCTGCTGTCAAGGGCCCAGGGGTCACTTCATCTTCTAAACTCTCTCCCTGGGTCACATCGGCAACCTGAGATAGCAGAGCTAGGGAAGGAAAAGAGCCATGAGGTTTGCATCTCCCCAAATCCCCCAAATAGAAAAACTGCCTGCAGACTCACTGAATGTGGCTCTTCCCCCAATACATGCACAAAGAGGGACATTTAGAGTGACTCAAGAGCAGCCCCAACCTCCTTAACGAGGAAGACCTGCAGCATATTGCTTTAGGCATGAGTATTTCCCTATGGTCTCAGATCTCTCAGGCCAGTCCTCTGCTCAAAAATCCTCAGAGGCTAAAATGGCAACTCAAAGTACTGTTAAAAAAAATCCTCAAAGGTTCCCCACTAACAAGAAAGAAAAATTCAAACACTTCACCATGGACTTCAAGATCTTCCACAACCAGTCCAAAGCTTCTTCTCCAAGTATTATATCCCTCCAAATGCCATCCTTCACCCACTGGACACACCTCCCCACACAATCCTATCCACCATTCTTTGAACATACATGGATAGTCCCCACCTCAGTACTTTTCCCCAAATCCTATTTGATGAAAAACACATATCCTTCAGGCCCAGTTCAAGTGAAGTTTTCCAAGACACCCTTAATGAGAAGTAAGCTTCTTCTCTCCCATGCTCCCCCAAATACTGGATTTTTATATCTATTCTGGCATCTATCTCAGGTACTTGCCACTTATTTGCATAATTATCTCCTTCAATTGAGTATTAGAATGAGTATATGGGTAGAAATGGTATCCTGTTCATTTTTTTTTCCATCTGCTAAAGTGCTAAGCATAACACCCTGCCAGGTTTCTAGAATTCAAGAAATACTCGTTGAGGCCGGGCGC